CTGAAGGTTGGGAGTGGGTGAGTGGGAGTGTTGTGTCAACCAGAGACACAATTGGTATTTGCTCCAAAAACTCTTGCCCTGTGTTATTTGAGAGCAACTCATTTTTAGCTTATGAGCTAAATCCAATTTTCGTTGCAGTGATACCAGATTTTTCACTTTGATTCATGCTGGATAAGGTTTAAGAGGAAACCTTTCCAGCATAATGAACCTATGTTGTTTTTTTTTTTTCCTCCCTTGTCTCCTTCATGCCAAGAACTAAGGATTTATACTGTAGCTACAAGGCAACCTGAAGACTTGCTACTGTTTCCCTATGATGGTCTGTTTGCATGTTTATTAACTTGAACTTCAACTAGGAAAAACGCAAACTCCAGTGTTGGAGTTCAGAAATGCCTATAATTTAGTGTCTCTCCTTTCTAACGTTATTCTTTAATGAACAAAGAGGCATTCACAAATACTGGACAGGGTGACAGGTTTATGACTTTGTATTAGCGCTGATTTACTCCATCCCAGAAATGGAGAGAACATCGTGAGTCCCCATGTGGCATTTCACATTGGATTTTTTAAATATTTATTGCCCACTTACGAGATCCAAATTCTGGAACTGGGGCATTGACAGATGACACAAAAGCTTTGACTTAACAAAAGTTCAGTGTCACCCCACAAAGTAAGCTCATCCTCAAGATGTCTTCTTTTATAGCATTTGAAGCTAAAGCAATTTTGGTTTTATTTCATCTGTATCTGAATCATCTGTCCAGGTAATTGCTTCCAATATGCATGTGACCATGTTCCACATCTACAAGCCGACGTACCTGGTAGGCAAGTCAACAAACAAAATCAGTTCCTTCCATCCCACACTGAGTCTGAAGGAAGCTTGACAAATAATTGTGGTTTTTTGCCCTTGAAACTGACCATTTGTCTTAGTGGCAAGGGAAGAGAGCCAAGCGGTCCTAAGGCAGCCATGAGGGGAAAAATCCTCTAGTGAATGTGGAGAGAAACGCAAAAGGGAGGACCACAAATCAGAGGAGTGAAGGATTTTAAAGGTGGTTATTTTCCATTGTTCCTTGTTGTACACATTGTTTGTATTCAGAGACTCAGACTTGCTGGGTTACCAGAGAGCATTTTCTGGGGTGATCTGCAAGGAGGAACAGTACTAAATCCCTTTTAATCCATTTTAACTGTCTGAGGGAAAGTTTGAGTCCTGCTTTTCCCTAGAACAAGAAACCAATCTTCAAATCCCAACATTGTGGAGACATAAAAGTGGATTTTACTGAATTGAGGATTTGCAGTAAGTCCAAGTGTGGTACATTTCTCCAAGCCATCTCCCTTTTTTATCAGAATCACATATATTCCAAGTCTGGTCACTCTTCGTATAGAAATTAATTCTACGGGATCATGACTGGGGTCCGGTTGTATCTGTTGCATACTGTTTATCTGCAAATCCTGGGCAGGACCCTTCGAATAGAGGACAGCATTACGGGAGGTGGAAGGTGAAGAGGCAGGGTCTCTACTCTCCCAGAAAGGACTACCGTCGGTTAACCAGCAAAGGGTGTCCAGGCACAGTGTTGGGTACCAGACACCTGCTTGCTATTGCACAGTCTTGTGAAGCAACCAGCAGGTGGAGTTCACTGCCCCGTGGAGCTTGCATTCCAGCAATAGGGAGGCTCTTGGTCCATTTCCGTGTTCGAGCGGCCTGGTGGCTAGCACATTAGGGGCCTCCTTCAGAAGGAGGTTAGAAAATAAGTAAAAGAGGGAAGGAAGGAAGGAGGGTAGGGCGGGAGAGAAGAAGAGAGAGGGAGGGAGGGAGGGGGAGAGGCAGGCAGAGGAGCCAGGTAAGAAGAAAGGGGAAGAAGAAAGAGAGACAACAAAGTCCACGAATCGTGAGAACTGACTGAAGACCGTGGCCTGCTCCAGAGGGCGATAAGAAAGAGATAGCTGAGCAAACCACAGCTGGGAGAGGCGTCCTTTCTCCAGGAAGCCTCTGGTCCAAAGCATGAACTATGGAACCTTTTAGTTTGCCTAAGGGTACTTGGCCTCCCAGGAGGGTGAAACCCAAGCCAGGAGTTGATCTATAGTCCTTCTGTGTTCCTTTGACAAAACAGGAGTCCCTCTAATGTGTCCTACTTGGAAGAGCCCAAACAGACTTGTGTTAAGACCCGTAAATACCTTAGCCTTCCGCCCCCCCGGGATATCGCCACCCTGTAACAAAACGACATCCTGGCTGTACGCTTAGCAGCTTGTGCCCCCCCTTGCCGTGCTGCCGCGCTTCTGTTTCATGTTGTATCTCAACATCTAAATCCTCCAAGAATGACTGTAAAGCCTGCTTGTCGCTGAGAGGGATCTTGTCCCGCTCGCTCCGCACTGCAGCCAGTGATAATGAATGGGTCAGCGTAATTACCGTGTTTTCTCACACAGGCAGCCAGCTGCTCTGCCAGATTGTGAATTTTTCATTTTCTTTATTTCAAAATCCAGGGCGTTCCTCTGCGAACTTAATATTTGAACCGTGGCAAAATAGAGTCAGAGTCAGAGCTCCTTCACTTTCTTCCTAGTCCTGAAGCCAACGTCTCACATATCTCATTACTTCTGGGCTTTTACAATATTGGGACTTCCTCTCTCTCCCCATTAAGGTTGACACCTCTCTACAATTTCAAGTGCATTAGTTGAAACCCTAGCCAGGAAACACGAGTGCTAAGGGGGCTGGCAAGCTGAGAGTTAAGTACAGCTGCACGGTTTGCATTTAACAATTAAAAGAACAGGTTAAAAATAGTCTGTATGGGTTTCTTGGGCACAAATAGAAAGATGAAATCACTCTGGCTTGTTCTACAATCCTAGCATTTTACCTGCATTGTGAGAGAGAGATGGCAGAGTCCCTGAAGCAGGCTGGTGGGTCGCCACTCAAGAATGCACAGGGAATTGCAGATAGCCAGTCTGTCTTCATTTCCAGTTCCAGGCTTATATTCCAGGCCATGCAGACCCAGGAGGTGGTGGAGGCTTGGGAATGGCTTCTGCAGGAAACCCCACTGCCTTCCTCTGGCCCCCTGGCCCACCATGCAAACATACTCTGCCCAAGGGGAGAGATGAGGTGGAAGGCTTGTCTTCCTACATGTGCAGCAGGAAGGGGAAGGGCCCTTCCTGGGAGTTTGGATATAGGTGGAGACAACTTGAGCACAATATGAAATATGCCTTGCGAGGTCAGGTGTTCTGGAAAATACCGCTCTTGGGAAAGTGATCTCTGGTTGTGCCTGGCTACCTATGGTAAAGCGTGTCCTTTCTTGTAAGGCCATCATTCTACCCAGATGCCTTCATGCTTAAATCATAGCACGAGAAGCTCAGTGTCCCTCCCAGCCTTGCATGGCATTACAAACACCGTAGGACCCCCAGGAGAGACAGAGCAGAGGAGGGAGGCAGTGGAGGGGTACCCCATCCCACCCTGGTTCATTTCCTTTCTCCCTCTCTGGAGACCCTCCAAGCTCCTGGGAGGTAAGTGGGATGAGAGAAGAAACTGGCAGAAGGGGAGGTTTACTGCCAACAAGTCATCTGCCAGCCCGCAGCTTCGTCCGCCTGTTCACGTACTTCCGCTGTCCTACATTCAGTCCAGTGTCCGGTATTCAGTGCCTACTGTGGATAAAGTCACAGGGCTTCCTCTGACCTGGGGAGACCCGGGGAGACGTGGATGGGAATGGGCTGTGGAAAGAGGCTGCAAGGAACTTGCAGACTAAGAGGAGAGAGGAAACGTTAATGACTGAGTCCTCCCGCCAGTACCCCTGAGAGCTTGGAGGCTCTGCAAATTGAGAAGCTCCTGGGTAAATGGAGTTTGGAGGTGCTTGGCTAGTAACTCCATGGTGAAGCTGCTGACACTTCCACAGAGCTTTCTGAGCCTTTCACGTTTATCTCCTGGGACTGCGGTTTCCCAAATGTACTTTCCCACGGCATCACCCCCTCCCTCCACGGGATGTAGTTTGGGTGACACTGAACTAAGATAGGCGTGGTGAGCAGAGCGAGAGCCCAGGAGACCCAGAGAAATGGAACCAGAAGGCACAGTGATTTCCTGCAGGCATCACGGGCCCTGATGTGACGGGACCTGCAGGCGTCCTGGAAGATGGGTCTCCCCAGGTCGTCCTGCTCCATGCACCTTCCCTCCAGGGAAGAAAACCCTGCCCACACCCTGTTCTTATGGGTTGAGTTCTCAGACTTTTGATTATGGTTGTGGTATATGTTTTACAGGCTGTATATGTGGTTAGGGGGCTGATCGGACATTGGTGACAATTTGTTTCTTGGTGCATGAGGGGTTTGTACACTGACAACACTTCATGTGCATGTAGGAACCCTGAAATTCAATTTAAAAAGTTTAACAAGCAATATATGCACGTAAAAGGCAATGTGGGACATAAATGAAAATCTACAGACAGTTAACACAGTTCAGCCCTAGAGATAACTATGAACACATTGAACTGCGGATATGTATATGCAGTTATATACATACGTGCATACACACGCACACATAAATATGCATATCACACATGTGTACACACGTACATGCATATATATATACACACATTGTGTAGACAACATACCCACACATATATACATAACCACTTGCCTATGCACACGCAGGTACATGTGCATACATGCATACACACATCTGTATACTGTGTGCTCAGACACACATATAAATATATATTACAATATACAGATGTATGTATGTGAGTAGATGGACGGTGTTAGGAACACATTGCACATACATAGTGCAGTAAACCTTTTTAACATTTCAGTTTGTCATTTACTGTGTGCCCTGGGGCCCAGGGACCTCTGTCTGTGCTAGCCCTTCCTCCCAGGAGTGACCCTGGCCTCCTTCCTACCGCCCACCTTCAGGACCCTGACTCCTGGAAAGGGGGCAGGTGCCCAGCCTCGGCCTGCAGGAGGAAGGCTCCAGTGGCGGTTTTCCTCCGTGGCAGGTGTGCTTCTGAAAACTTTGCTCTGCTCTCTCCTCTCTCGCCCTGCAGTGCCCGGCTTCCCGTATCCAGCCGCCACCGCCGCGGCCGCCTACCGAGGGGCGCACCTGCGAGGCCGCGGGCGCACCGTGTACAACACCTTCCGGGCTGCAGCGCCCCCGCCGCCAATCCCGGCCTACGGCGGGTAAGTGGGGCAGCCTCGCGGCGGGCCTCCCTGCACCAGCGCCCCCCTGTTTGTGCGCGCATGCTGGTCTTGACTACCTCACCAGAACCGCCCCAGCATGCAGCCCGGCGCGCCTGCCGTGGAGCACCTTGCAAAGAGTATTGAAAAATGAGTGTAATTTGTCCTGTCATGGTTGGTGCCTTTAAGCATTCTACATGTCACATGTTGTTATGTAAATTCTCTTTGAGACTGAATGCTGGAGAACAGAGAAATGGTTACAGCCAAAGATATATTTCTGATGATTGCAAACATCTGGTTATTAAGGAGATTGGATCACATTTGCCCTTTGAATCCGTCCATGGAGGGACATGAGGTTTTCAAACCTAAAACAAATCACTGGGGCGGTCTTGCTCCCTTCCCCCAGAGACACCTGGCACTCCAAGGTTTATGAACCGTTGGCTGAGAAGAGAAAATTAGCTGTGGAGTCAAGTGCAAACATGCAATAGTTCAAATGAAACTGGAATTAAGACTTGTTTTACTTTGATTTTCCAAAATGGCATTTGCCTCCCATTCCCCTCAGCAAGGAAATGCAGATTAATTGGTTCCCCGTTGCCAGTTTGGGGTTTCTGTGCGTGGACTTTGCTATTTCCAAGTGACTGACAAGGAGTGGTGGTGAATGTCCAGAAATGATGGTACTGGGCTGGTAGGCTGCAACCCCCAAATGCCATCCGTCCTGCCTTCCAGTTAAGGGATACTCCTAGAACATTCTGGCACTCCTGGTGTCAGGAAGAGAGGGGTCTCTAAAGCAGTGGTCCCCAGGGACATTAGGAATATCTGGGGGAGCCTTTGGTTGTGATAGAGGGACAGTGTGATGGCATCTCATGGGTGGAGGCCAGGGCTGCTGCTGAATGTGTGCAGGGCACAGGGGGACCCCCACAACACAGAGAGCTATCAGGACCCAAATAGCAAGAGTGCGACCCTAAGGAAAACTCAGCTGTGCCCTCAACCGTCTGGCGTGAGGCTTCCTCGGTCAGTGACTGGCTTTCTGGTCTGTATAAAGAATATGGCTGCCTTCGGGACTAGGGAAAAGGGTTTTATGCATTTCCTACAGCCCTGTTGCTTATAGGTCTTTTAGCAAACCTGAGTGAGCCCAGATCACCTCTCTGTTATACTGGAGACAAAGGGAACCATTCTTTCTTCATTATTTATTCGTAGGACACCCATTCTGAAGGGGAGCATTGTAAGCGTTTCAAAAACAAAAGCAATGGGACAAAGTTAAGAATATCAAGAAATGAAACTGGATAGGATGAACCAGGGGAGAAACTGAAGGCAGAGAAATAAGTGGGGGTCCGTTGTTTCTTGCTGTTACAGAGTTCGGTCAGTTCTGAGTTCCCTAGTGGACAAAACACAAGCAAAACAAATATTTTTTTTCACGGTGGATCAGACCAAACCAAGGACAGATTTGCCCTCAGTTCTTCCTGCCCTACAAAACGTAAACATCCGTGTGTCCCAAGCCTCGTGCATCTGACCAGGGGAGAGAAGGACTCACTGATAATGTAATCGTTATCTCTGGCACTACCGTGTTAACCCCATCTTCTCGACCCATAAATGCAGAAATAAAGATTTGTTACTCCCAAGGTCACGTAATGTGTTACAAAGGGAAAAAAAAAAAAGAAACCCCACCAAGTTACCCCCTAGGCTCATGTAATTACTAATGTGAAATTCATAAGCCATAAATGTAAGATTGAATGTTTATACCCATATTAGTTATCTGAAAATTGTCATCTTATCTTCAAAGATGGTAATTGTAGCTTTTTGGTACATGTACCCTCAGTATCTCACTATTGAACAGGAAAAAAAATGAGGTAAAATTATATGGCTTATCCTCACATGAACAACTTGTAAAAATCTCAAAGTAACACACCTGCCATAAAACTGAAATTTGCTAACTTATAATGAACTTGCTTTTTGCCAGGAATAACCAGGCATAACTCATTAATGCCACATTCACGGGGGAGACACAGACCATTTACAAGTGGCTGCTTGGTGGGTGTATGTGCATGTCCGCACGTTCTGTAAGAGCAAAGGGCTGGCCGCAAAGAAGGAAATTGAGCTAGTTGCCTGGGTGTTTTGCCTTATTACTCACCGCGCGGAGTGCACTGGCCTCAAATGAAATGTGAACTGTGAACCCAGCATTTTAAATGAAGGTTTCTCTTTTCCTCTGCTTGTTTGACTTAGGCTGCAGGAGATTCATTTTGCAAAGGAGCAGAGCAGATTACAACCCAGAGCAGACATTGGCTGGAGTACAGAGGGCCTTGATCTTGAGTTGAGCAGAAGCAAATAGCAAAGAGGTGGGAAACCCACTCCTGTTTCCAGGAAGTGGCATTACCAGGTTTCAGGTGGTCCAGGAGATGGGATGGATTTCCTGTAACTGTCTCCAAAGTCGTTGGGAGGAAGATTTATAGATTTGATTAATGTCTTTACTTCAGTTCAGTTCAGCTCAACACCCCTTTTCTCAGCTTCCCACACTGTTTGCACAAAGGCCACTGAGGCCACTGGCACCTTCGGGGGAGCTTCTTCCGCCACAGAAGTGAACGATTCCAGTAAATGTCATGAGTGATAAGTAGGGTGTTGTGTGAGCACCAAGGAAGGGCCCCTAGCTTAGCTTGGGTATTCAGAGAGGGCCTTCCAGAAGAACAGAAATAGAGGATGCATTTAAGTCCAGTAATTTCCTAAGTTGCCACATGTATTCTGTGATTCTCCCTCACACGCAGTGACTCCCATCTTTCCTAAGCCATCACCTCTCAAGCTGCATTTATTAAGGAGGAATTTATATCCCCCATGGGCCGTGGCCAAGTAAACCTCCCTTCTTCATGAAGTCTCTAATATGAATAGGCTTTGTTACTAAAATTCCAAACAAAAATGTGTCATTTATCCTATGTCTGTGAAGCTATGCCTATTTTTTTTTTCCTGAGAGATTAAAAGTGCAGCAGAACCTCCATGGCTACTTTTGTGGAGCCTTGGGTGACCCACGGAGCTGTCCAGCACAAATACCATCTGACAGAAGGATTCGCCAAGGGTGGCCCTAAATTCTTCCATCTCCTCTTACTGGTCTCGTTTTCCCTTTTCCCCTCCACATCCTGATATTGTCTGTAACCTCTCCCAGCAAGCAGAGCATAGGCTTTGGAGAGGCCCCATTCCCTTCTTACTCACAGAGCTAACTAGAAACTTCGTGGGACAATAATACATGATCATTCCCTCTGGTTGGGAGGGCAGTGAGGGCTCTGCTTGGATCATGGAGGGAACATAGGTAAGAGTGGAAAACCCTAGACTGAGCCAGCCAACTCCCTACTGATTGTCAGCTGATAGAGGATGAAAGAGGGAGACCGTATAAAGTTGCACCTTCGTAAGCTCCGTCTCATGACACGTGTGTAATGAGCTCTAGCTACTGTCCAGGCTGGTGCAGTTTTTGACTTAATGGCAGCCCATACTCCTCTCTTTCCTGAGGTCTCCTTTGGCTTGTGTCAAGTATCCAGGCAAATTCTCTCTTACCCTCTGTGCATCCCTTACCCCTTTGCTGGGAGGTATCTGCAGTTCACAGACCTCCGTTAGTCACAGGTACAGGGATGGCTTTGGAGAGAGGCATCTTAGCAGTTCCTGGGATATGTAGCTCACAGATAAAATACCAACTAGTGAATGGTTTCAGAAGGACCTGTGGGCCAGGTCTTTGATGGTTCTTACATTTGATCCTGGAGTCAATAGAGAAGCCACGATGTCCAGTCTGTCTTCCTATGACTCACATGCAGGAGAAATTACCCACTGAGTAACTGCCATCCAATAGACTTGCAGACTGGCAATTTGTGCATGGAGATGGCACGTGGAAGAACTGGAGACATGCCCCCCAGACTCAATACGAAATCTGATTTTAGAAGATGGCATAAAATCCCAGTCCCCTTCCCAAAGGAACCCCATGAGATTGGCCTCACCAAGTTCTTGTTCTTAATTAAGGAGTCAATTAATCCTTAGACAGCTACTTACCAAGTGCCTGCTATGCCCCGTGCATATTGCATGGGGGTACAGCAAGGGGCTTTAATGGAGCACCAGAGGAGATTTTTTAATTTATTATTATTCTAAGTTAAGCATCCAGCATCTATAGGGTTTCAATCTTGGTTTCCTGGGGTATCTTTGAGGAAGGTATTCTGTACTTTCTCAGGTAATTCATTATAACAAATTTTTGTAGAACTTCTCAGTTACCTTGAGAAGTATTTGAGGAGACTCTGTGATACTTTGTGTAGAGGAAACGTAGGATTAGTTTCCCATGAGAAAACTTTTCTTTAAGTTGGCCAGTGCAAGAATGAAACCCACGCATAGATCCTTTGGGAATACTTCCAGGTTAGGTCCTAAAAAAGCGTCTGACTACAGCCTCTAGCACTCTATGTACTTACCTTTTGTCTATAAATCAACCATGCTCTTTGATTCAATTTTTAAATATTTAATCCTCAGACTGTATTATCTGATGCTTAGGAATTTCGTCATTTAATATAAACATTAAGAACTAAAATAATCATCACTCATTCTTGGAACACTTTCCAGAATTATCTGTATGTTTATGTTCATTTTTCATGTGAATTCTTGCTCAAATTCAAATCCAATTTTAAAATGCAACCACTCGGATTAAAAAAAAAGTTCTCTTGAGTGCATTTATAGATAAGCACCATAAATTGGTGGTTCTTAAAATTTTTTTTTAGGAGAGGGGACAGTGGAATGTCACAGGTGCATTTGATAGTCTAATTTAAAATGTGTTTTCCCTAAAAAAATGTTGGTGTACACACACACACACACACACACACACACACACAGAATTCCATACAAGTGTCAGGGAATTCATGGACCCAGCTGATATTTATTCAAAAACAGCTAGATTTGAACACATTAAAAATTTAATTTATTTTCCAGTTGGAAGGAGCAGTAATGTAGAACAGTTTTAAATAACCTTTCCTTCAAGAATACACTTGTGGTTG